TTTTTTTTTTTCTGTCGCTCGCTCCAACAGCACCATCTCTGGCAGGTGGTGTGCGGTTTAAAAAAAGGCACACAGCAGGCTAACGTTCAGAACGATAGGGAGCCAGCTGAAGAGAATTAAACACGCTTTTAGATTGTCTTTTTTTTTTTTTTTATGTTCGTCGAGTGTTAGTTTAGCTAGCGCCGCCATTTTTGTCAGTCCCTATAAAACCCGCCGGCGCCGCGGTGAACGAGCAGAACGTCGGGGTCTCCCCCTCCCTCCATTTCTCTCGCAGCCTGGTGTTTTACGACCAGCGGTGGAATCGGACAACTGCTCCCTTCATCATGCAGCTTCAGAAACAAGGCGGAAAAGCCCAACATGTTGATTATTTCGCCACCGGTTGAGTTGTAAACGGAAAAAAAAAAGGGACCAACGGCTGAAGTGTCAGGAGGGTCTCAGGTCCTGAAGCTTCCTCCTCCTCTTCTTCTGCACTCGCCGGTGTTGTTGCAGAAAATGATATGTGGATGATATTTTTCGGAAGCTCCTGTTTTCACCTCGGGAGGCCCGACACGAGGAAACCCGAGCGGACGTTTTCCCCCCTGCTTTGAGAAAAAAAAAAAAATGAGGAAGCGATTTCACAAAGACCCAGAAAATGGCACGAAGGAGGTCTCGTCGTTCGTGGGCCCGGATTTGAGCAAGATGAGAAGGAAAGGGGCATGACTGGCTTTCTCCCCCCCCCACACCCCCTCGCAGAATGACGGCAAAAGGAGGTAAAAAGGTGGAGGTAGACGAGACCCAGCATCGATGAAGCCCAGCAAGTTCTGACGAACAGGAACACTTCACAGCTTCGTTTCAGATCGTTTACACCCTGTTGAAAGCTTTTTTTTTTTTTAAATTTTGCATCACCAGTCATTTTACTTTTTACACCATTTGTAAATATATGTATATTTTTTTGGATCCGGATCCAGCCCTGACTATTCAATGGAAGTATGTTATCAGCTGCCGGTGTTGCCTCTAGACAGGCCGGTTCCCAAGCATGTCCTCAGCCGGAGGGGAGCCATTAGTTTCAGCTCCAGCTCCTCTCTGTTCGGGGCTCCTGATCCAAGACAGCTGTCACAGGTAAAAATACAGAACATTATTCAACCTCTTTGACTTTCCTCCACGCATTTAGTCACAGAGAGCTCCACGATAAGGGTTTCCACTTGGGCATCTCCAACAAAATGCATGACTTCTCCACAGGAATCTTGCAGGTGGTTGCTTGTGTTTGCGTTCCCATCCTCGTTAGAACATTGCATTGACTTCCATTCATTTCTCTAACCCTGACCATAACCCCGCTAACCATTACCAGTACATCCCTAACAGTCCTCGCCTTAATCCAATTCAAGTTGTTTATATAGCACCAAGTCACAGAAACATTCATATACTTAAAAGTAAGTTAATAACGTTATTTATCCGAGGAGCAGACTGTCATCTTGAGCAAGCACAGAAGGCAACAGTGGAAAGGAAAAACTCCCTCATGAGGAAGAAACCTCGAGCAGCGGTCATCTGCTTCGACCAGTTGGGTTTGAGAGGACAGGAAGGAGGAACAGATACACAATGGCAGGTCAAGAATCGCATGTAAAGATAGAAATTCCATAGTATCAAACGAAAACTATTCAGTTGTAACAATTAATTTTAAGAAATGAGGTCAGTTTGTCCTCCAGTAGTCAAGTCTATGGCAGCATAACAAGTCAATCCTAACTGTCCTAGGATTTATCAAAAAGGAAAGCAGTGTTTCCACTAGTTAACTTGTCATGGCAGGGTGCTCATCTTATCCATGATTTTTGTTGATGGTGGTGGTGGTGGTGGGGGGGGGGGGGTGTTTGGGGTTCCGTTTGTCCCACCAGTTTTGGGGGGGGGGGGGGGGGTTCAGCATGAGGGAAGAGGCGCCTTTAGCTTTTTAGCTAGAGAGTCTGTATTTGGTGCCGCTAGCTTAGTGCTATGTCAGTGCCGGTGGGGGGCAAGTTCGGTTTGGTAGGTGGGGTGCTCAGTTCTGTTGATGGGGTGGGGCACCCCACTTGTATAATAGTAGGGGAAACACTGGAAAGCCCTAAGCCCAGTCTTAAAACTGGACATAACTGGAAGTTTGTTTCACAAGAGAGGAGCCTTATAACTGAAAGAGCTTCCTCCCATTCTGTTCTTGGAAACTCTAGGAACCGCAAGTAAGCCTTCAGTCTGAGAACGACGCGCTCTGTTAAGGTTCAAGGTTCAGGAAACTGTGGGAAATAAGATCTGTAAAGGAGCTAGGTTGTTGAGGGCTTTGTAGGTTAGAAGTAAGATTTTTTAACTCTATTCTGAATTAACCCCTTAACCCACAAAAAATGATGATTCACCCTATTAGGAGACTTTTGGTGCCTATAATTGCCAATCCTGACAATGTAGGTGATTCATACCAGAAAAGGTAACAAAAATCAGGTATACACACACACACACACACACACACACACACACACACACACACACACAGTGAGTGAGCATTCAATTGCCCAGAAGCACTCAACACATTCTTATCTGCAGGACCTAAAACACACGCAGCAAGCTGTCCCAACTTTATGCATGTTGACCTCAGATAAAGGCTCTCTTAAGCCAGCACTACCATGAGGCAGAAGTTTACTACTGGGATTTATCAGCAGGAAACTGGTATTTATGTTATCATCCACTCACACATCGACATAAATTATTAAACCATACTTGAACTTCCTGCTTTTACCTTCTGAAACGTGTTGAAAATATCCGTCTGCTGTGCATGCCTCTACTTATTTCACCTGCTGTGTGGTGAGAGAGGGGAGGGCTACAGCCTTCAGGTTGTAAGGTCGCGCTTCTGCTTTACGTTTGCGTTGAAGCTAACGTGTCAGTACGCTGCATCTCCATTGCATTAGCCCATACTGAGTCATTTCTGAACATTTGTCTTTGCTCTGTTAGTGGTTTGTTTAGTAAAACCAAGTATAAGATGTGCTTAAGAAAAAAACTCACAGATCAAATTAATGGGTATTTGCTGTACATATATTTTTTTGTACATTTTTAACAAACTAAACTAAAACGATAAAGTTTATCTTCATGCATTTATGTCACATAGCTGCTCTATCTTTTTGTGTTTGTGTCCTTTTCAGCGAGGTGTCCATTAGTGTTTTGTGCAAGTCCTAGTTCACATCCCCATCCATGGGTCACCCATCAGACAAAACCAAAGCATAGATTTAGCTTTTTTCCTCATTTAGATTGTCTTGTTGACTGAAGTAATGAAATGTAAAAGTTTTTGCTTTAGTCATCATCATCCTCTCTGTACAAACTGCAAACCCCCTACTGCTCTGCTATAACCCTCTGCCTCGATTAAAACTTAAAGTTGTTAAACTTTTGATTTGCCAGCGTATTTGAAAATGTGCTTCTCAAACTAAAGCCAAAGCAGAGTTCCCTTAAAATGTCAGAAGGAACTCCATCTTGGCATGTATTCCTGCTCGTCTGATGGACACCGATACAAAGCTGTTGTTTTGGGTTCACTGGTTGATTTCTCACGTGGCCCTTTCTACTTGCTCACTGGGTCAGAACGAGCTGTCCTGTTGCGGCGCTTTTTTCCCCCCTTCATAAAAACAGGTTTGTGAGCAGTTCATTCTGTTGTGCTCAGCAAATACCCTGCAAAGCAGTAATAAAATGCTGGACAGTTTCTGTAGAGGTCTTCCCAGTTCTACAAGTTTGCAAATAACTTGTGCGCAGAACAAAAATAAATTGGTCAGAAAGCGATTCTGTAACTTGGAGACATGCTGAGAGTCAATTGTGTCTTCCTTTGTTAATCATTGGTCAAGTTGAGTACAGATCAGATGCGTACATGTAGCAGTGTATGCTGAGCAATTACACTTCTACAAATATTGTGTTTCGGGCTTTATTTACAACCATAAGGGTGCGTTTGTCCTCTGCGGCTGCTGTGTTGTTGTGTGTGGTTCCACAGGCCTGTTGTTTGTGGAAGCAAGGCCTGACTAGCGTCACAAAAAGAGCCAGTTAGGCATGTGCCCGGGAACTGTGGGCAGTGGTTTGGCTCACTTCCATATTCACAGATGGCCGAAGTCTCAGTCTCTTTTCTTTCACTGGCTATCTTGTTCCATTCACTCACAAGCTCCCTCTCTGTCTTTTTCTCTTTGTGCCCTCCTCCAAATTCCCTCACAAACGAGGACATTTCATCTTGTGGATAGAAGTAGGGCTGAAGACACAGCAAAGTTTCAGAAGAATATGCCAAACTGTGGTTTTGGTTGTGATCACGTCCAAAATGTGCAGCGCTTCTTGGATGAATGCCTTCTGACTTGGTAATGCTTGAGTTTTAGACTGAATTCTTTTAATGAGGAGAAACGACCAAGTTGTCTTTTTTTTGGTTGAACCTTGAAAACTGGTTTGTGTAATCTCCGGTATGTGCAAGGATGACTTTCAGCTACTACTACACCAAAACGTAGCGCCGTATTTTTACAATTACCTGACTTGTAAATGTGCATCCAGTGACTACTTTCCAAATGTTCATAGAAATGTATCTAGTAGCTTATGATTTAAGAAACCAACATGGTTGACTCCCAACAGTTACTCCAACAACTTGGAGTATGTGTTTTGAGGGTAACTACCAGTAGTTACAAATAACTTTATATATCTTAGGGAGGCACAATATTGGATTTTTGTCTGATATCTGATATGCCAATATGTAAAAACTTATTTGGCAGATAACCGATACCAATACCGATATTTTTTCCCTAGACCTACTTACATAGACTACATAGCATTCTCTGCTGTGGAATTAAAATTTGTCAATTTGGCCTGCTACCAAATGCAGATGCCCCCCAAAAATCTATATTTCAAATTTTACGTTTTCTTCATCATTTCATGTATTTGCACTCATTGTGTCTACTTTTATTGTTCAATTTAGATATATCTGTGAACAAGAAACAAAACCACATATTTTTTATTTTTAGCTTTGCTTAAAAGTTCTTGTTTAGTGATTTGTACATCTGTGTGTTGGATTAAAGTTTAACTAAAGGCCGTATCTCTTCTTTAAACATATTTGAGGAAAATATTCCTGAGAGATCCAATAATTTTGTGTTTTTATGATTTTTCAGCTGAGTTAATGTTAACAGATTATTTAATAGCCATTAAAGTGAAAACAGGAGTTCATAATAAAACCGGCACTGTTTAAAAAAAAAAAAAAATTAATCTTCACTGATTTAAAAAAAAAAAAAAAAAAAATTTATATACATAAAATGTTTTAAAAAATAGTTTCCACCATCCGTCCAGACCCGTCCCGGTCCGCCTGCTGGGATCGTAGTTCGGTCTTCATGATTACGTGAGGCCGGGGTCCAGGCAACGGCCTTCTGTGAGTCAGCTGTATGATCCTTCGTGGTGACCAGCGGAGCTCAGAGCCCACAGACCACGCAAGGCTGGGATCCCGAGTCAGCACCACGGAGGATCTTTGCGGTGACCAGCAGAGCTCTGTGCCAGGGAGATGACGCCCTGCCTGGCCTGCCTCCGAGGCTCCGGTGAAGAGGACCAGGGAGACCGAAGGAGCTCCATCTAGCGCACTCTGAATTTTGTTGTCGGCCACCAAGCACCAAAAAACGCCTGCACTTCAGCATTAGACCACGGCGTTGTCATTATTGTTTTCAAAATCTTTAAAATATGTCCAGCCGCTGCTCTGGGTTCTGAGAAATTGCACATGGCGGATTGGTGTGAAAAGTTTCTGAAAGATCCAGTGATTCCTCCCCGACCAATCAGTGACTGACAGTGCGCTGACGTCACATTTTAGGGTCCTGCTTGGACTCAGTGGAACCGCAGAGAAGTAGGTACTGAAAACAACAGGCCGGTTCCAAGAAGAAGGCCCTGTGGAAAAGAACACGGAACCGGCCTGAACAGGCTAAAGCAGGCCCAAGGAGGAACTGTGGAAGAGGGGCTTTAGTGAGTCCCATTTTAACAGGCTAAAGAGTTAGCACTGCTGCTAATGGTTAACGAGTCAGGAGGATATCAACTTTGCCACATTACAAAAATAAGAGATGGAGCTCTGCAGAACCAAGTTTACCTGGAGTAGAAGGGACGGTAGCGGACAACTTTCACTGTAT